CCGGGGAGGCCGGCAGCCCACCGCACCAGGGGCGCTCCATTCATTCGTGAACGCCGCCGCGCTGGAGTAGCGATTCCGCGAATTCCCCTCCCGACCCGACCCGAGCCATTCCACTCCACGCCGTCATTCATTGCAGCGACCGACACGGCGCGAGAGAGACGGAGACGGGATGGAGACAATCGAGGGGCGGGGCGGGGAGGAGCGGGCCGCCGGCCGTGCGAGTGTGCGAGTATGCAGTGTCTGTCCATTCCGCGATGCTGACAACTCACTGAGCAAAACAGTGCATTCAGGCGAAACGGGAGGAGAGGGGGGGACGGGGGACGGGGGCATTAGGCGCGGAAACCTTCTGCCTCGTCAATTCCGCTGTATTGTCTGGGCCCGCGCGTGCACGGTGCGCGCTGGGCGGGGCGGGGTATTCCGCGAGGTGTCACAGTACAGGGGGTCGGAGGCGGCGTCATACCGAGTTTGGAAAACATTTTGGGAGAGACGCATAAGAGAAGAGCCGCGTGCGTGTCCAAAGTACTGGAATAGTCGCGGGCTGCAGCTGCAAGGCCGGCGGCTCGGCCGCAAAAGCGCGGGCCGCGGCCCGGGCGGGCGCCACGGGCGCAGCGTAGGTGAGCTCCCGCGGGCGCCCCGGGCGCCCCCGTGACCCCGGCCACCTCCCACGACGATTAGCCGTGTGCAGCCGTCGCCACCGCCCCGCGGTGTGCTTTTTAGCAGCCCTCTTGCCGTGCTGCACGCGAGGCCTCTCCGCGGCGGGAGGACGCGGCCCCGCGCCCTTCGGGACCGAAAAAACAACCCTTGCGCTCACCCCAGCCCCCGCGGCCCCTACCGCTGCCGCAAAGCGTTTTCCCCACATCGTTCGATTGCCACCCGAGCAAAGTGGCGAGGCTATATTATCGCTGGTTTATAATTCATCTTTCTCTATATCTGTCCTCCCCTGCCCGCCCCCCTCCCCCTCTTGGGAGTGCTCATGTGTTCATCTTGATCGAGGTGTTGTGCTGAGAGCCTCGCTCGCCAACGATGCAGTATCGCGAGAGCCTGTCCGCGGAAGCCCGCGTCTCCCTCCATATTCATGTGCATGCAGTATAGTTGCGCGACCTTCACTCCCGTCATATTGATATTTCGAAGCTGTTTTCTCTCCCTGGGCGGGCCGCCGCGGGTCGGGGCGCGCGCCGGGTCACCTGAGCCGACGGGCGCCCTGTGGCGGCTGCGGCGGTCAGCGGTCAACCGGGCGGCCGCTGATCGTTCACACCTCACCTGATAGCTCGCCCGCCGCAGCACACGGCGAGATCCGTCCGTCCGTATGTCCGCCCGTCCGCCGAACTTCAGAGAACTTATTTATTTCTGCCGTGTGACGCGTTTTATATTGGGCTGGCCGCGGTTCGCGAGGGCCACGAGTCCACCGAGGCAGGTCTGGGGTCGTTCGCCGGCGTCAGCTGATCGCAGAAGCCAGCTGGAACGGCAGACAGTTTTATTTCTTTCTTTTTAGGTTTCTGTTTCCAAAGGGGGCATGCCGGTGCGGGCTCATCAAATGTGTCGGATTTGCATGTCACATGAAGTTATTGGCGGAGGGGAGGTAGACACAGCAACTGCGGCGCTCCGCGCGTGCACTTGTGGGGTGTGTACCTACCCGTACCTAACCTACGCGCACAGGCGGGACACGGGCCACCGACACACCAGGTTAGGAACGCTGGGACATCTTTTACTATGATTTTATGACTTTTTCGGTTGTAAAAGCTCAGAGAGCAGCAAAAACGAGGGACAATGAAGACGATAAAAAAACAGACATCGCTTTTATCATTTTTCTGCCGCGCGGAGACTTGCATGCAGCGTCGACTTGACAAGAAGACGACCGTCACTTTCTGGCCTGGCAGGTCTTGGTCTCCTCATGGTCCTCTCTGGAAATTACGCGCGGCGGCCTAAACGCCGCGCTGTGCCGCTGCGCCCCGCCCCGCCCCACTCGGTCGCCACCCCCGCCCCGCCCCGCCCCGCCCCGGAGTCTGGCGAGTCTGGCCGTCCGCGCGGACGTAAACACACAATCCCACAGTCCAGTCCAGTCGCCACACAGACACGCGCGCACGCGTCCCCGCGCCGCGACCCCTTCTCCCAAAACTCTGCACCACACGCCCCGCGGTGGCGGCCAACTACACAGCTAGCGAACGGACCAGATGGACGTAAACGACATTACAGATAAGGTTCTTAAACTCGGAAACGGTAGCTTGCCACTGCCCCTTCGCATATTCGCGAGCGGTCAGTCTCTATACAAAAGCAAAGCCGAAATTCTCTTTTCCACATCATGATTTTCTGCACTCCTACAACACCCTATTATCCCCCCACCCCTCCTCCTCGGTTCCCTCCTGGACCCGCCCCCGGCCGGCCAGCCGTGGGCGAGGTTTCGCGCGGCGCCAGCGCGCCAGCTCGGCCCGGCTTGAGGCAGCCCGCTCAGCAGGGAACCTCGTGACCGTGTTGACGTCCCCCACCACTCCACCTGGAGTAGAGTAGTAGTAGTAGGGGTGCGTCCGAGACGCGTCGCGACGCCTCCCTCCCGCTCGCGTCGCGCCGGCCCGAGCGCGACAGAGACAGAGACAGAGAGAGAGGCTGAGGCGGGCCGAGGCGGCAGCACCGCGCGCCGCGCACACAGCAGCGAGCGAGCCGAGCCGAGCCATGCCGAGCCAAGCCGAGCCGAGCCGACGGCCGCCGCTCGTCTTAGACAACGACGTATCTCCGCCTCAGCCAGGTGCGAGTTACGTGCGGGTGCCGGTGCGAGTGGACACGGTGCGGGGTGCGGGCGCGGCTAAACCCGCCGCCCATCCGCGCACACCGCCCGCCGGGCCGGCCGCCGGTGCGCGGAGCTCTGCGGCCCGGCCCCGGCCCGCCAGCGCCAGCGCCAGCCGCCTGCCAGTCAGTGAGAGAGTGCCGAGCAGAGTCGATCTGTCCCGTCGCGCCGCTCCGTGCTCCGCCCCGCTCTCCCCCGAGCCCATCATCGCCGCCGTCCTCCCGGCCCGGCTCCCGCGCCGCAAGTGTCCTCCCGCGCCGAGAGAGCCCCGTTTTGAACGCGCTCGCTAAGCAGCGCTTGGGCTCTCCCTCCTCCTCCGCAGGGTGCGAGTGTCGCCTGGCCCGGCGCGCAGGCGCATCAACTCTTTGCGGCCCCCGCCTCGCCCCGCCCCGCCCCACCCCGCCCGCGAGTGCCCCGCCCACCTCATGACCAGGGAGACCACGGCAGGCTCTCTGTGCGCGACCGGCCCTTAGGCCCCACGAGGACCCCCTCCACCCGACCATCGGCGAGGACCCTCCCCTCCTCTCCCGTCGCTGCAGGCCCTCCCCTCCGCCCCCCTCCCCCAGGATATTCCAATTTAAAGGGTCTCTTTAATAGACAAACATGAGCTGTGTGACGTCGAGAGAAGGCCCAGGGGCGGCCCCAGTGGCCGTGGACGTAGGGGGGAGCCAGAAGCATGGCCGCTGGCAGGGCTCCGTCAGAGCTGGCCGAAAGGACGAGAGCGGCGGCAACAACGTCTTCGACCTGGTGGACGGGCCGCTGTCGGACCTCAGCTTGGACTGCAACTGCAACGTGTGGAAGGACGACATGGAGTGGGGCTACGCCGAGAACAATGGTGAGTAGCGGCGACCAGCTCCTCGGCCACCGCGCCGCCGCCGGCCGGCCCGAGGGAATTCCCTCCTAGTTTTAAGCGATTTTCGTCGGGAAGGTTCGCGACTTAGAATTTGATGTGCAGCAAGTTGGATGAAAATTCAGTGCGACTGATGACTGATATCGCTGAGAATTTGTTCGGATGGCGCTTTTGCATATTCCATATCCCCTTTCACCCAAACAAAGGGGCAACATTTTCTCTTCTTCCAACGGCTTAAGCCGTGATATGCGACCGGATCAAAAAGTCCGTTTCGGTGCGGGTGGGGTGCGCCCAGTCCCGGGTGCGCCGCCGAGCACGAGCAGATCACGCGCGCCGGGGCCGGGCCGGGACGGCGGCCGAAGTCCTCGACGCGCCGCACCTGTTGCCGAGGTGGGATTTGGTGCCGCCGCGCGGTTTTGGGCTTTCCCTCTCCGGCCTTGATCTGCGTCCTGCTCGCGGGCGGGCGCGGGCTTCCCTCGGCTCTCCTTAATTGATTCCCATCGGCGTCCTGCGCCCCCCGCGAGTCTGCCCGCTCCTCCCCCGCGACGCAAACAACGGCGGGGCAGTTGGAACGGTTATTGTTGATCGTTTGTTTCGTTATTCCCGGAGTGTTTGGCCAACGTCACCGTTGTCCACTCAGCGGGCGGCCGAGGGAAGGAAACCACTGCGGTGAACGTCTAGGGTCGCCCCCGCCCTCGCTATCAAACGCAGGTGCCTCTCCTGGGGCGGTACCGCTCTCCTCGGTTGATCTGTCGATAAGGTCCCCCGGCGGTGTCGCGGTCGCGGCTCGCTGGCGGTGCTTTCGCAAGGTGCAGGCAGGACCCAAAGGGTCTCCCGGCGGGCCCAGCGCCGCCCAGCGCCGCCCAGCGGCTACAGCAGCACCCGGCCCGGGGGCTTTTTATGCTGCGACACTAACTCTTTCGCGCTTTGCATCACACGCCGCTATGGGTGCCCGACCCGACGGGACGCTGGCTCCGCCCGTGGAGCGAGCCGGGGCCTGGAGTGTATCGAAAAGCATTTTAAAAACACACTGCTCTCTGTTGCAAGAATAACACGGTCCAAAAGGACGACATATAATAATAAAAACGTTCCGAAATTGCCACGTCAATTACGCCAGCGCGCACTGTAAAATGCTACCGAACTCATTTCTTTGAAAACGCTTGCGAAGGATTTTCGGTCATTCATTGTATTAAAAAGAATTAGTTCGATTTGCGGAGAAATTCTTGGCGAGCTTTCGAATCTTCGGAAACTATTTTGTTATTGCAAAGAAATACAGTCTGCAAGCTTGTGAAGAGTTCTTACTGCAATGATTTAAAATGCTTTGCAGGTTGCAAAGAAAAATCGTTTGCATTACAGACTGGTTTCTTTGCACACCCAGAAAATGGTACCCTCATACCAAGGGAAATTCATTTTAAAAAAAATACAAGGACATTTTCGTTGGCGTTTCCATTGTTTTCAAGGAAATTTCTTTAATCTTACGAAATTTTTACTCTATTTTAACGGCAATTTCCTTATGATGAGGAAAATTTCCTTGTATTTTTTAAAGGTCTAAATAGCCCTTCATGAAAGGCATTTCTCCTTGTTTCAAGGATACCATTTTCTGAGGGCAAGCTTGTGCAGTCTGCCACCGCCAGCCGCCAATCCATCTGGTTTATGCAGTGTATCCGATAAGAATCGTGTATTAATCTCTGGTTTTGCACCCGGCGCGCAGTGCAGTGCGCAGCGCAGCAGTATGAGTAGCAGTCGCAAACAGATCCTGCTGCAGAGCTTGCGGCCGCCACAGCAGCTGCCTGTGTGATAAGCCGGCTATGGGCCTTGACGAACCCCCCTTTCTGTGTGCTTGACGACAGCAGCACTTGCAGTTTTAATTATTCAACATTTTTGCTTGATTGGTGGTTATGCGCAGTAACGTGTTGTCGATCGCAGTTTGTCTCTTTTATTTGAACAGTTGGTTGTGTTTGTCGCCGCCGCTGGGCTCAACCTGTCTCTGCTCCACGACCAAGTCAACCCAACCAACCCCTTTTGGTCAAACTTGGGTTGGTCGGTCAGCCAAAGTCTTGCTCGGTCGAGTTATCACCTCCCTTCATAATTCCTCACTATAAAATGTTCACGACCTCAATTCACTGCAACATTGCGAAAGAATTCCTATTCTCTGTGTTGCGAATAATTTCTTGTCAATTCCATGAAAATCCTTAAACAATTTGGATTTTCTGACGAACAGCGCTTTCGTAAGCTTTACAAAGTTTCGTAATAAAGTTGCTTGAAAATTATTCGTGCAAGAAGCTCATTATCTGTCTTACGTTGGTATAACTGTTTCCGTCATTAGTACTGTCAATTGTCTTGTCGAATACATAGCCTATCGTCTGCCAATAAACCGTCAGATTAACTGTCACTCTCGAGGGAGTTACTTCGCCCTTCTCTTGCTCCCCATCGGACACAACAAGCTTCAAAAAATAAAGTTTGCACTGCACTTCGAATCTTTTTGTCTTTCTAAACATTGTGCAGTGTAATTTCCTTCCTCGAACGTTCAGCACACATCGCCGCCATTGTCGTGCCTCAAGTTGCCATTCCTAGCCGGAGCAAATATGATTATGAGCCATACCATGTCGTTGTCTCTCGAGAACCGCGCGAGTTGACCGCCGGTGTGTGTGGGGGGTGGGGAAGGGGGCAAAGGGGAGGTTTGTTCTGCCTCCGCTCACCCCCGGCGCACTCGTACCGCTTCGCTTGAGGGAGAGAGAGAGAGCAATCCACTTAGCGCCGGCCGCCTAACCTTCACCTTGGCGCTTAGCGCCGCGCCGGTCCTCCGGACACTCGGGGTGGCGAACCAGGCGAACGTGTCGTCGCGTCGTCACAGAAGGCTATGGTCCTCGTGATCGTGATGGGCGCGAGCCGTGTGATCGTTTTGTTGAAGAGAGTTCACATCTCGTTTCTAGATAGACGGCACTGGCGTCACCCAGAAAACTGCCTCTTTGGAGTAAGGACATTTTCTTTACTGCAAAGAAAATTTCGTGCCAAAGAAACCAAGGTGAAATTTTCCGTAGAAAAATGTATTTAAGGAACACTGTGAAAACTTGTCGTACCAACTACAGGAAAATTTTTCATCAAAGAAATCGTACAATTACAATTTAAAATTGTAAAATTTTTAAGCCCTGGGTATCGACTTCGAATCAAATATCGAGCGAGAGTGGGAGGTTGTACCTGTACGACTCGATTTGTAAATGGCGAATTACAAAATATGTCGTACATGTACAGACATATTTTTTACAGTGAAACCGAAAAGTTTGTAAAATTCAACAAATTTTGTTGATGACGGAAAAGTCATGATTTCTTTCACATAGAAAGATACGGTTTCCCGGGTGCGGAATGGGACAGCCGCGGGGCGGGTGCGCACAAAGTAATTGGCCGACCGCCGGGCCCCGCACGCGAGCGCGCAGTAACTCAAGCCGCCGCCCCCGGCATTAGCGCCCTCGGCCCTCCGGGGCCCTCCGGGGCCCTACGCAGCCCTTAGGGAGGCCCGTCAGCTCGCCGTCGGCCGCCATCAGCAGATGACCACCCGAGAAGGCGTGGCTGGCTTTAGGAAGAGACGCAGGCCCACGTCCGACAGCAGCTACTTTGTGCGTTTTGGTTAAAACGAGCCCCTCCCTCCTCACGACTCTTTAAGTTACCGGGAAAAAGACTTGAGGTAAATCGTCAGTAAAATCGCGCGGATTTTGAAACCGCGCATCGTTTGCAGCCTCGTTGTAAATAAAATCGTTCGAGTAAAGTCGTGTTTTTACTCGGGCAAAGAATAAACAGAGAAGCTGAAAAGAATGTATGTCTTTCGTTTGTGAATGTGCCTTGCTAATTGGCCGAGATGAACTGTCTTGGGCAGGGTCCTGGGCTGGTCGGGGTCGGGTCGGGGTCGGGGTCTCTGCGCTGTGGTGCTCCCTCTCCTCTCTCCTCTCTCCCCTCTCCCTCTCCTTTCTCCGACTCCTCTCTCCCATCTTCCTCTCTGTCTCCTCTCCCTCTCCACGGGTGTCCCCCGCCTCTTTCCTCTGCTCTTTTCTTGTTGTCGCGTACACCCATATCCAGCGCACCACGCACTCGCCACTCGGCATTCGGCCCAAGGAAGAGTAATGATCTTAACTCCAAATTTGCCGAAACTCCTTTTCTTCTCAGGCTGTCGTGTTTTTTTTAACCCTCCTGTCTTCCTCTACTGCTCGCTTGGATCCTGGGGGGAGGGGGCAAGCATGGAGGACATTGACCTCGTGCCCCGAAAAAACACACCATAGTCGCAATAAAAAGTGCGCATCGGAAAATGTCGAAATGCCGCGAAGCTTGACGTCTCCGGGCGAACGCATCGCCCGTTCGGGCGGGGCGCGGCGGCGGAGCGCCTGCCGGGTAGGCAACCCCGAGTCGTCTCGCGCACCCGTGCGCCGCTGCTGCCTACCCTGCAGGCTGACTGCTCGCTCCCAGGCCCGGGCCGTGGCTCTCCGCTGCTGCTCTCCGCAGCTGCTCTCCAAAGCTGCTCTCAGCTGCTGCTCTCCGCTGCTGCTCGCTGCTGCTCTCCGCTGCTGCTCCCCGCTGCTGCTCTCCTCAGCTGCTCTCCGCTGCTGCTCTCCGCTGCTGCTCTCCGCTGCTGCTCTCCGCTGCTGCTCTCCGCTGCTGCTCTCCGCTGCTGCTCTCCGCTGCTGCTCTCTGCTGCTGCTCTCCGCTGCTGCTCCCCACTGCGCTCTCCACGCCCGCGCCGAGGGAAGCGCGCGCTCCGCGACAACTATTTGAGCTCAATCGAGTACCGCGGAACACGACGCGGCTGCACGCGACGGTGGGTGTGCTGTCGAACCCGAACGCTCGTTGCTCACTGTGACATGATGGCAAAACCAAACCCTTTGCAACGCTGTAAAACGTACCATACGAGCTATTTCTTCACAATCTTACATGGAATCCTTACCAACTATTTGGTTTGCAGTGTCATGGAAATTAGTTAAGCATTCGCAAGCTTACTG